TTATAAATGCTAGAGAAACTTAGACACAGACAAGAGAGTAAAATTATATATAGATGTAAAATATAGTCAGAGAAAATTCAAAAAACAAACATAAATTTAGCAAGTACAGAAAATAAAAATACCTGAGAAAATTACACATTCCAGAGAAAATTAAAATGCCAAAAAAATTTATAGAGCAGAGAAATTTGAATGAATTGAACTTGAAAATTACACAGAGAAATACAGAGAAATTAACCATGCTAGAGAAAATGGGGAACAAACAGAAACAAATGGGGAATAAACATGCCAGAGAAAATTCAAAGAATAAATATAGATCAAGCAAAATGTCAGAGAAATTTACAGACAAAATTACACAATAATCTTCAAGAATAAGTTCAAAACGCAGAGAAAAAATATTTTTCAAATTTATGTAGCTTTTATTACGAAATTGAAACCCTAATTAATGGAAGACTAATATAAAATGCAATTAACTTTGCTTCCAGAGAAAAACTCATTGGATTGTAGAAAAACTTACCAGAGTGAGGATGAAACCCTAATTACAAACAATATGCCATGAGATAAAGATACACTTTGATGAAGATGAATTGAGATGATGATGAACAGTGAAAACGGGTTAGAGAAATTTGTGAGGAAGGAATGAAAAAGATTTTCGTAGAAGATAACGAAACCTTGATGTCGATAGTAAAGATGATTATGAAATTCTAATTCTGTTCTTCTCTTGCTCGTAAAGATAGTTGAATGTTAAGACTGGAATTGAGTTGTCGGAATCTAGTTCAGGTTCTCCGTTGATTGTGAAGAGTATTTTGGTTCAAGAAATAAATAAAAAGCGCACGTTATTAGTTGAGGGACTTTAAGCATCATTCTGTAAAATCCAAATTTTTATGTGTAGAATTATTTTTGGATAAAGTAGTAATTAAATTAAATTATATGGGTCATTTTAGTAACATCAAGGAATTAGTTATGAGGTGGTTTTTTTTTTAATTTTTATTACTTAGATGGTTAAGTTTGTAATTTTGGGAGATTGGGTTATAGGCCCACTTGGGCTTTAGGTCTTGGAAACATAGAAGCACAAACAAATAGAGGTAGTGATGTTGTTGTGGCTGCTGCGGCAGATCTAGCAATAGAAAAAAAAAAAAAGAAGAGAGAGAAGAAGAAGAAGTAAAGAAAGAAAGAAGATTCATAGATTGGTGACTTTGATCTAATCATCTCTTGGAGGTAAGATTTGTTTTTATGGTACTCCTAACTATTTCTTTAGACATAGTATCTTGTATGTTGATTGGGTGTATGTATTTTGGGGTTTTGGAATTTACTTGTAGACTATAGGATTAGATTAGTACATTATAAAGAAAAGAATGATAGATGCATCATGGTGATCAATAATAATTGTTTATGTGGTATAATATTTTATTAGGTTTGTGAGATTGAGGTGGATCTTGGTAATTTGAGATTAGCTTGGGAAATATTATTTTAGCTATTTGAGGTAAGTAACCCTCTATCACTGTTGGTTTATTTTTAATCCTATCGAATCGTTTAAAATCATAAATATTTATTCGTAGCTTTCCTGTTCTCTTAAAATAAAATATGGGTCAAGTATAAAACAACATCGAATATTATTATAAATAGGGCAAATTTCACTTTACCCTTGTGGTTTGGCCCAAGTGCACCAAGGTGCACCGTTAGGCCCATTAATGACTTAAGCGAAGAGATTAAAATACCCTTGTACATGAATAACCTCATTGTGCAAACTACCGACATTTTCGTAATTTTTTTTGGCAGGCAAAATTCACTTTTAACCCCTTGTGCTTTACTGACACTTGGAAATGAGCAAATAACCGCTTATGTCTTAGCATGTGTTTCACACTTGCTGTTCTGGGCCTTGTCACGGGCTAAGTGACCGTAGTCATTAAGACTTGGGTTTTGTGAATCAAATCATTGAACCATCTGAATATCGAACCATCGATTTGAACAATGAATTACTTTGAATTATCTTGTTGGCTTTTCATTTAAAATGTATTGTACATTGTTTATTTTTAGCTATGAAACCATCTTACAAATAATTGTTCATTTATTGAACTGAATAAAAATTTATATTTATTGATTATCGATTTATTTATTTATTTTTTTTATGCTTGATCCAGCTGGCAGTGATGGTTGGTTATTTACTAGGCTGTCTAGCTTACCCTTATTTTATTTTTTTCAGATTCTGAAGAGTAGAGCTGCGCGGGATTTTTTTTACATATGGGAGTGCCGAGAGTAGGACTATGATTTAAGTACTTGGATTATTTGTTTTGTTAATGGATTTTATTAGTGGACTTGGTGGATAATTTCATATGATAAGAATAATTAATTTTTTATGGATTTTAGTATTATGATAATTAAGGATTTGATTAGAGTATTTTACATTGTTAGCTATGTGTTGGACTCTTAGCCTTGCATGCTCACTTAAATGAGTGTGCGGCGTTGTCATGGAGCTTGGGACGTGACAATTTAGTGGTATCAGAGCCAGGTTGTAATTTTAAAGGCTGGTATAAAATAGTGGTGAGATTGGGTAGATATAGGATTGGGAACGCTTATAATTTGATATGATGTTATTTTTATTTACTTGTTATAGGGACTTGAGAATAGAATAAGATGAGATTTTATTATTGATGCATTTAGGTTGCAATGGAACATGAGGAGACATTGGCAAATATGGCTAGGAATACACGCCAGGGTCAAACGAATCGACGGACTGGTAATAGCAATCGGTGAGGGAATGTGACTAATAATGGTAATGGTTCTCAAGCAGTCGGAGGAAATCAGGGGCAAGAGTTGGGACACCAAGAACAAGCTGCAATTCCCAATCCAATTGAAATGGTTCAAGTGCTTCAAACGTTGGCCGGGGTGGTGCAACAACAAACCACCATAGGGAATAACTTGACTAGACTTATGGAGCAACAACAGCGGATGCAGCCAGGTGTTGGGCCACAACCAAGGCCACGTTGTAACATTACCGAGTTTAAGAAGATAGCCTTGGCATTTGACGGAGCCACAGACCCTTTGGAGGCTGAAAAATGGTTGACAGAAATGGAGAAGTTGTTTCCCGTTTTTGAGTGTACGGATGATCAGAAGGTGACCTATGCTACGTTTATGCTACAAGGGATAGCTAATGATTGGTGGCAGATGGAGAAGCGCATACACGAGCATGATGCCAACCCCTATACATGGGAAAGGTTTAAGAAGGCATTCAATGAGAAATACTTCCCTAGGAGTGTTCGTCTACAAAAACAGAGGGAATTTTTGAAGTTAGAGCAAGGGAATAAGACGGTTGCAGAATATGAAGCTGAGTTTACGAAGTTGTCTAAATTTGCATCAGCATTTGAAGCAGATGAGGATAGCAGAGCACGAAAGTTTGAAGGTGGACTAAGAACGAACATTATGCAACAAGTGGTTCCTTTCGAGTTACCTACTTTTGGAGCAGTGTTGAATAAGGCTTTGCTAGTTGAGAGTGGCCTTACCAGAGCCCAAGAAGAGAAAGAAGAGAATTATAAGAAGAGGCCTAGTTCTTCCAACTTCCAAACTAACAATTCGAAGGGCAATACTAAGAGACAAAACACTTCTTCGGTTGGGAGTTGGGGAAGTCGAACTATGGGTAGTAGTGTTGATAAGAAGAATGATCGGGTACAATGCACTAGGTGTAATGGATTCCATCGGGATAGTGAGTGTCGTTGGAATACTGGGGCTTGTTTCTCTTGCGGGCAATAGGGGCACAGAATAGCCGATTATCTTGGTAATTTGAGATTAGCTTGGGAAATTTATTTTAGCTGTTTGAGGTAAGTAACCTTCTATCACTGTTGGTTTATTTTTAATCCTATCGAATCGTTTAAAATCATAAATATTTATTCGTAGCTTTCCTGTTCTCTTAAAATAAAATATGGGTCAAGTATAAAACAACATCGAATATTATTATGAAAATTATTTGAATATTCGGTGAAACTATTCTGAAAATTATACTAAACGTTTATTCTGAAAATATCGAATGTTTTATTTAAAATTTGTGTATTGTTTGAATTTTGAACATCACTCTAGTCTGACTATGATTTGGACCCTAGCCAATGGGGGTTATTTATTGGCACAGAAACTAGTTTCTTTTGGGGCTTTACCACCGGCCTATGTGTGGTTCTGGGCCTTGTCACGGGCTATGTGACCGTAGTCAATAAGACTTGGGTTTTGTGAATCAAATCTTTGAACCATCTGAATATCGAACCATTGATTTGAATAACGAATTACTTGAGTTATCTTGTTGGCTTTTCATTTAAAATGTATTGTACATTGTTTATTTTTAGCTATGAAACCATCTTACAAAATAATTGTTCATTTATTGAATTGAATAAAAATTTAAATTTATTGATTATCGATTTATTTATTTATTTATTTTTACTTGATCCAGCTGGCAGTGATGGTTGGTTATTTACTAGGCTGTCTAGCTTACTCTTATTTTATTTTTTTCAGATTCTGAAGAGTAGAGCTGCGCGGGATTTTTTTTACATATGGGAGTGCCGAGAGTAGGACTATGATTTAAGTACTTGGATTATTTGTTTTGTTAATGGATTTTATTAGTGGACTTGGTGGATAATTTAATATGATAAGAATAATTAATTTTTTATGGATTTTAGTATTATGATAATTAAGGATTTGATTGGAGTATTTTACATTGTTAGCTATGTGTTGGACTCTTAGCCTTGCATGCTCACTTAAATGAGTGTGCGGCGTTGTCATGGAGCTTGAGACGTGACACATTCCTTTTTTTTTTTAATATCCTTTATCCTTTAAATTACTATTATTAAGAATCTTAAAAACAATTCCTATTTCAAACTCTCTCTCAATTGAATTTATTATTATTTCACAAATTGTAAACCTGTCACTAACAAATAAAAAAATATATTTACTTTAAATTAGGTTTATCACCAATTTTTTCATAAAAAGTTATGAAAAGATAGATTTTATTGACGTCGGAATATATTTTATAATTTCGCCTAAATATTTCCGGGCCAACAAAAACAATAAAAGGTGGAGATTGGTCATCCATGGCGAGTGTGGGCATCATCCTCTGCAACTACTCAGCAATCACAACTCCCACTCTCCATTTTGGAACCCCCAAATCAACATCAACCCCACTCCGACGACTTGTACTCAACTCTCCCTCCATACCCATATCGCTTCGGAAGACGATCAGAGGCTTGTCTGTGGTGACCCGAGCAGGTCCCGGCACTGGCACCTACATCTTTGCATTCGTCCTCCCTCTCTCTCTCCTCGCCGTCACTGTCTTCACTGCCTCCCGAATCGCCGATAAGCTCGACCGTGACTTCCTGCAGGAGGTTTTTTATTCTTTTTCTTCTTCTTCCACCTCCTACCCATTTCATATCCCTTTTTTTGCGTGTTTGTTTCAACAATTAGAATGTTCTACTTGGTTTTTTTGTTAACTGGTTCAAAGAAATTTTGAATACTTTGGTTGACTTAATGGTCAATTGACGAGTGTCGCTATGCTGTTGAACCACGGTTCTTCTGGTTATTAGTTATGTAATAAAAATCTTTTCTTTTGTTCTTCTCAAGTATAATAAAATCTTGTGCCTTTTTTTCTTTTTTGGTAGATAGACGGTTAGTTTTATACAAAAATAATAATAATAATAATAATAAATAAATAAATAAATAAATAAATAAAAACTCATATATTACACAAGAGAAGCCTGGAGTTGGAGGAGGCTGAATAGAAACTTATTCTTGCAGATCCCTCCTTCCCTTATGTTGTTCAAAGGCATTCTTCACGTCAAGTTGAAATAAGGGCTACTTTTTGATTGCAGCCAAGGCAAGAATGCCACAAATGGTGGTCATTTTAGCAACCTGGGGCAAATGTTTCCCCTATCTCTAAATGGGTTCGACTCAATATTCTTGAAGGAATCCTTTAGCTACTAACACCTAAGCCACATCCTTCAATGAAACACTACACCTCATAACCCCAGAGGCTGGGTGAAAAATAGCACACCATTAGCCAAACAAGCTAAGATAGCTAAAACAATGGAGTTGAGCAAGAAAATAGAAAATTAAGCAGATTCATCACCCAGACAAATCTGCATCCACAAATCCATCAAAGCCATCCCACATCAGACAACTTGTATTTACAACTCTATAGTGTAACTCATTACACCTCTAAATGCCATCCTTGATAAGGACCTCTTTTGAAGGGCCTCATGCCAAATATTGGCCACGACCAGAACAAAAAACCCAAAATGGAGGAAAGTGAAGCGAATCCGAAGCGTCTGGCATCAATACACTAAATATGGCCACAGTCAGAATAGACCCCCAAGAACTCAGTAAATTTGTACCAGAATTGGCCACAATCTATCACACACTCCAATTGAGAGACAATGAACAGGCTCCAAAATATTCAGCTCTCATCTGAAAAAATAGTACCAATGGAGGACCACACCCCCACTCCATATCCATGGAAACCCGACACCAGTACAACCAGACCATCTCACAATATGGCACCACATCAATTGAGGGCTGCAACCACGTCACTGAATACAACCCTAGGATTTGGGGAAAAGAGGTAGAAACAAAGTAATGGAAATCGAACCAAGACAAAGTAATAGTCACTTCAATTGTAGTTAATTTAACTTAGTGGTTGTTTGGCATGTGCTAAAATAGTACATGCTATTTTTGCACATTATTCTCTACCACATCATTTCAAACCCAACCCATATTTCACGTTTTTTCGTAAAAAGTCAAAAAGTGTACTAATCTAGCACTTCCCAAATAACCCCTTAATTATATATGGAACTTGTTTAAGTTTAATTACCTTTTAATTTTGTAGTTAGCATTATATATTTGCTAACCTTTTTCTGGAGTTATTTTCACTGGTTGGTATGGCTATGAGCACATCTGGATGCTGCATGGAACTGTTATCATTTTCTTATTTTTAAAGGATGGTCTAAGGGGTCCAAAATTTGTCTATTTCATTGTCTCCATTCCATACAACATTTTGGCACATCAAGAAATGAGGTTCTATAAATTTTTGTTTTGGGCTGTTCTGAATTAGTAACCAAAAAAATTAATCCTTACTGAAAATAATTTATATCTACATTCTTAGCTTTTAGTGTCTGCTAAAGGCTAGATTTGTGCCTTCAAATACTATGAAAGGGTACTGCAAGCCCCCTTGAAAATAGCTTGGCTACAAAATGTTAGATTCCTCTTTTGGGTGTTGACATTTCTATTGCTGACCAGGGTGGGGGGTTATAAGTATCTTGGCCACAGAAACTGGAGTGAAAGAGACTAGAAAAGCACTGTACCTTCCTAGACTAAAATTTGACTCTGCTACCTTACAGTTGGACTGGAAATGAGCATTCTGATCTCATAAAGATCTCTGATAGGCTGATACTGTCAAGACTCCTATTTTTATAGGGTAACCAAGACAAGAAAAATAATTCTTTCTGAACTCTGATCACAACCATGTCAACCAAATGCCTGCAACCTTGTTAGCTTTGTGATAATGGTGACAAATACTCCATATGTGCTATGGAGGCATGCTGCAATCTGCCATAGAAAGTATAATCCACGGATTCTCAAGATCTCCCTTAAGAATATCAACAAGGGAATTTGGTCCTGGGATAACTGCATAATCAAACATAGAAAAATAGACACTAAACCGTTGTGAAAGTTTCCAATATCCCATGCAAGGAGTTCCAGAATTTTGTGTTGTGAAGCCACAGTGAAAAGAACCCAACTCATATCTCTACCAGCTGCACGACTAGCTTAACCATCCATATCAATCTTAAAAAGGATGCCTGTTACGTTATATCAGTAATGTAAATAATTTTCAATGATTCAATCAGTTGTTTGTTGCGCCAGTCTTTAAGACATTTTTTTTTCGATTGCACAGTCTAGGAGTCTAGGATGCATGTCTTAGATCTTGCGTCTTAAGCCCGTATGTTAAGATCTCTGTTCTATTTCTGTGTTCACTCTATAATGTTTAATTCCTTTGTTGGATTTGTTATGGACATTAATCCTGTGGGTAATATTATAATTTGATGTTTCAGGGATTATTTACACTATAGTGAGAAGCACTAATATCATTTAGCACACTTCAACTCGAGATGTCCTTAACCAGATTGACTTGGTGTTGACTGTTTTTTTTTATATATATTTTTTTAATCCATTATATTGGATATGGTGCCTTGTGTACTGTTGGTTGATTCACAGAACACAGTTTCTTTAATCACAGCATCTCGTCATGTTTCTGTGAACTTGTTCTTTCTCACATTATTTGGCTGATGAGGATGAGGATGATGTCATTGGAATATTTACAAAAATTTGAAGAATGCATCACAATTTGGTGTTAGCAAATATGTTATTTTCTTCAAATGTTTATTTGCTCATGGTATTGTGATTGACTTGTATCTGTTCATTGGACTAGATGGCAATTAATGAAGCAATAATGGAAGCAGCAGATGACGATGGTGATGATGGTTTATCTTTGGAGGAAAAATCTGCAGTTCCTCGCACTCGTAACCGGCCGAAACGGGAAGCTGAGACTTCATCCATGTAGACTGGTTTTGTGAGTTTGTTATTTTCTGGTATAATCTATATGATCTTTTTTTTTAGCTGTACTTGTTTCTTGGAAACCAAAGAATGTCATGTGGTATTCTGGTAACTGATTTCGGAAACAAAAATGGAAAGCACCTCCACTAATTGAAGAAATGTGATCCAGGAGAAAATTTCCCAAAATGCTTGGTGCATAGTTTTGTATGGATGTTTCTATAGACCTGATGCTCTCCTTGAACATAACTTTTTGAGATCGAAGGGTTTTATGAGATCAAAGGATGTTTCACTTGCTTGTCGAATCTGAGTTCTGTATTTTATGAACAACGACATCCAACTGGAGTTGAACCCAGAATGTAGAATGCATTGAGTTAACCAAAGCTCATGCATAATCATACTAACTAACGAATAGTGTGCAATGAGCAATAAAGATAAAAGATAATTGGTACCCTAAAGTTCACCACAGAATTTTTACTCTGAATGTGAATGTGTGGTCGAGGTCGAGATGAATTGATGTATTGTAGGGGTCTATGCATGCATACAATGAATTTAAATCACATATTTATATTTCTAAGTAAAATATTTGAATAGTATTTCTGAGCAATAAAAAGGATCAGGTGGACAAACAATTTCAATAATGAGAGCAATGTCACTATATGAAGTTGGTGCATCCATATAGCAACCTATGAAGCATATTTATACAACCATATCAATATATTAATTTATTTTTTAATTTTGATTTTTGGATACAACATAGGTACATATTATACAAACCATGCAAAAGCGTCTCTTGGCCTAGACACTCACTCTGCCATAGCTTTCTCATTTTTTATTATTATACAACATATACAAATGTTATCTCTCTCTCTCTCTCTCTCTCTCTCTCTCTGGTGTACTTCAACTTTTAGTGATTCGGAAGCTATCTTCAACTTTTCTTGTATTTGCATTCACATACTGCAAAAATGATACAGAACATTGAGACAATTTTAATCTAACCAATTATATGATTCTCTCTCTATATGTACACAAATTTTTGTCTAAGAGCTGAAAAATTATAATCTAAATTTATCAATTTTTTAAACTTTCGATATTTAAGAAATACATTTGGTGATAAAGGCATAAAACTAGTGACCCATCTAATCATAACTAATTTAAAAACTTTTAAACAAAAAATGGAAACTATAATTTTCAGTCTTGAATAGTAATAAGTTAACACCATTACCACATATCATTCCTAGTGAATTCTTGTTAGAAATTCTGTCTGTAAAACTCAAAAGTTAAAAATGTACATCAATTACCTATTCATTTGGTATTTATCCAAAGCTATTTAAAATTTTGGATTTGTGATAGGAAAAAGATATGAACAAAAAAACGAATTCAAATAGGAAAATGAGAAGAAAATGAATACACTAACCATAAAAAAGAAGAAGAAAGGTTTTGTAATAAAAAAAAATTAAATATGTACAAGTACTTTTTATTTTTCCTTGATAAATTTAAAATTCAAATTTTTAGAACCAAACATAACATAATAGAGGGAAGATTTTCTAGAATACTGACCTCGAATGTTAAATCTTGCCTTGTGGCATGTACTCTTACGTATCCAAATTCAGAAATCCTTGCCAAGCTCCAGCTATCAGCCTGCCAACGGAGTAAAATTGATGTGATTAGAATTATAATTGACACAAGGGATAAACTTACAATAACTAAGAATATAATTTGTTTCTCTCTCCTCTGTATGAATGTGTAGAGAGAGAGAGAGATATGTGTAGTGAGGGGGTTAAGTAATCAACTTACACTAGCTGGAGACTTGTCCAAATTGAAGCCAGCCATTCCAATAACTACCTGAACTGGGGCACTGTAGTTGGTATTATCATATGTGTCGATTCCATGTCCATCTTTCTTAGGCATAGCCTTACATTCATTTTGATAAACAGCGCAGGTTCTCTCATAGTTGTGAACATGCCCAAAGAGCACCAAATCAACCTAATTATTCATGATTCCAAATATATAGGTAAATCCTCCAAAGAGTAATGCTATACGTACGTACATAAACAAAAACGATATACAAAATATGTATATACTTATATATTGAAATCAGTTGAAAGGGCTCATTAGTTGAGTGGTTTAAGAGGATTTACTAACCTTGTTGGCCAGTAGTAATGGCTCCACAGCTTGAACAAAATTGTTGTCAACACTTGGAAGAATGCCACTAGAGGAAGAATACATGGGTCTGTGCCTGTAATTCAAAAATTTTCATTTCAATCCAATTATCAATAGGAAAATACATACATATATATATATATATATATATAATTGGTACATTTTTTGCTTCCATTTGTCCATGTTGTAGAGTCCTTGGATTCAGGATGCTTCCCAAACCAAAGATTAATAATGATATGAGTTACTTAGGATATCAATAATGGAATTACTATTTCACTATTTGTGCATGCCTAGATCAAGTGCAGATGACAATGATACCACTTACCCAGCAAAAATTATCCAAGGAGTTTTTGATCGATCAACTGAAGCCATGTCCTTATTCATCCAGTCATACTGTAAATTAAGAAAGATGGCGAAATTTTTATGTTAAAAATCTGGGAATTATTTTTTGTTGCAAGACCGGTAAAGAACAAATTAAGCAGATCATTAGTCTAGCAGTAATGGGTTGGGTCTGATCTGATGAATGATGAGTGGTGAGTATGTATGTATGGATTGGATTATATATATTGTAATGAATTTTACCTGCTCGGAGTTTTGTGACCAATCATGCTCTGTTGAAATGACAGTGAAATGTACAGGACCTTGTTCTATAGAATACCATGGCTTATCCTTTGCTGGGGTTGGCATTGGAAAATAAGTCTCATATGGAACTCCACATTCCCCACCTGAGTCTGGAGTTGTGTATACTGATCCAGAATCAACATAATCCCTGAAAAATGTCATCCATTAATTAAGGCAAGCAATTAACATTATGAAAGAAAGTGAATTAATATTTCAAGAATATGTACATATATATATGTGCATACATAGTAATGAGAATATTAAGGCAACACACCTCTCATGGTTTCCAATTGCAGTCATGTATGAAACTTGAGAAGCCACTGGGCTGATAAGGTGAAGGAAGAAGTCCCATTCTACTAGAAATCCCGTGGCATAACTTATGTCTCCGATGTGGAATATAGAATCCACATTCCCTGAAGCTACTTCACTAGCCATGGCTTTTGTCACTGAGAGTGATCCCGGCTATATATGTAATGTCATGTCGTGCCACAGACAAAATCAGAACCTAGCTAGCTTGTTAATGATGGATTTTTCTACTAGATTTATAAAGTACATGAATGATACATCTTTAATTATGTATGCATGTTATTGTTACCTGAATGTAGTGTTCAACAGAAGCATCACGAGGTGCCTTGCCCATGTCACCAAATGCAAGAAATCTGAGTTCATCCGATCCCCCAACGGCTGGAGTTGTGAATTGGATTTGATCACTCCAGCCAACTGAATTACTACATTATTTATAATAACAATGAGAGATCACAATCCATATTGTTAATTCCATCCACATGTGTAAACAAGAACAAGCTTGCATAAAAGATTACTATCTAGAAACAGTCGTTAGTTTTTTAACCCAAACTCTTGTAGGGTATGGACTATATATGGATTGCAAAATAATAAAATTGTTGTTTCGTACCTTCCATATCTGTAGGAGAAGGTGCTTGAAGGCTTAAGTCCTGTCATCACAGCTGAATGAATGTATCCTGGGTCATGCCACCCAAAATCTTTGGCCGGACTTGGTAGAATTGATGAACCTGTCAATTTCCCACAACCAAACAAGAACCACCAAAACAATTTTTTTATTTTACTTCACCACGAAATTTATAGTTGTAAGTAATATTGAACACTAAGACAATTATGACAAAGACATGACATTTTAAAGTGAACAATAAGAAATAAAGAAAGACAAATTAAGACCAAGTGGCAAGAAAAAAAGATTTTAAGGAAATATTGAGGAACTCACTGCACATATTATCTGGCGAAAATGTAGTAACTTGTGATGTTTGTGATTTGCCTCCTCCATATTGAACTTGTTGAGGCTCCTTATCTCCACTGACCCATGTTAGTCTCATCTGCAAAAATAGTAATCAACTTGTTGATGCATGAGAGTGAAGCACGTGACAGTCTTTCATTTCATATTTAGACTAAACACATCGAAGTTGATTACTATTTTGTTTGAGAAAAAAGTTTATCTATTGTCAATCAAGTGGTTGACATCTACACTAAGGTCTCACTTCCAATTCTTTTCTTCTTCTGCGTGATAAGCTCATGATTCACTTGAGGTGACTGTTAGTGATATTTCCGACTCTTTTCAATCTTATTCTTAATTAAAGGAAGTCAACTCCACTGCAGTCTTATTAGACAAGTTAATTTGTGAACGGTAGAGTTGGTCTCTCCGGTTAATCGGTTCAATGTATCAAATATCGAGTTATAAAAAATAAAAATAAAAAACAAATTAATTTTACAATCCCTCGTTTCCATCCTTTTGTCTATGCCACAGGGTTGTAACACACTTATTAGGCTCTATTTTATTAGAAAGAAAGAAATGGTGAAAAGTGAAAGGGCTATGGAAAGTGAATTGAAAAAATTTAGAGCAGAACATAGATATGTTCCACAGAATATAATACAAATGTGAGACAAATGGTGTGTTTCATTTTGTGAAATACATCTGTGTTCTTAGAATTATTGAAAAAATTAATATATATTCTTGTATGAATTTAATTTAACAAGTAAATTTTGCAAGGAAAGAGAGAGAAATTGAGAATTTTAATTATAAGTAACAGTATCTTTTATAAATAAATTTAAACATTATTATATATATATATATATATATTTGTAAGAAACTAAAAACTTAGTTACAATGTTATCATAGGTTGTATAGAAAAACAATTTTTCTAAAAGTAGACCATTCTTTTTTTTTTGGGGAATTTTTTTTAAGGGCCCTGGTATTAAGATTTTATAATAGATTACAATTATCGGATTGGTCTTATTTTATTTTATTTTTTATGATATATATGAAGTAACCGACAAAATAAATGGTTTAAAGGTGACCCTCATCTCCACACATATATGTGCGTACAATACTATTAAATCAACAACTGAAAATTCGATGTTTATAGAATTCAAATATGATTAGTTAAAATATACAGTAAAATCTAGCACCCAATTACGAAGCGGACTGCTATTAATGTATTTAGCTAATGATTAATTAATTTGTAGTAAAAAAGCATATCCAAATGAATATCCTTAGTCAAGCTATTAAACAAAACAACCTACAATAATTCCAACAAAGTTGGCAGAAATTTATTGGAATTGCAGACGTAATATTTAGATATATATAGACATATTACCGATGTTGCGGTTGAATCAATGCTGGAGAGATGTCCATATAATGGTTGTTTTGGATTAGCAAACTTCAAAGGGACTGATCTTTTGAGAATGCATGGTGTGTCGAATCCAGCAGTGAAGAAGACGAATTCAATGTCGGTTCGGATGTTAATAACGTGAAACGATAGTGAGCCACTGCAAGTGCTCACTACACTATATATATATATTTTTGTAAGAAACTAAAAACTTAGTTACAATGTTATCATAGGTTGTATAGAAAAACAATTTTTCTAAAAGTAGACCATTCTTTTTTTTTTGGGGAATTTTTTTTAAGGTCCCTGGTGTTAAGATTTTATAGCATAAAGGACGCTCAATATTTTCATGATGTCTAAGGTCCCTCAACATCAATCCAGAAAAAATTCGATCCAAAGAAAATTCGATCCAGAGAATTTCTCTGAACAAATCACAGAGAAATTTCAAATTTCTCTGGACACATCATAGAGAAAATTTCAAATTTCTCTGAACAACAATAAGGACTAGTGCTCTGTTTCAGAGAAAATTGGGTTGGTCCAGAGAAATTCTCTGATTTGGACTAAATTTTCTCTAAGTTAAACTAGTGCTCTGCTTCAGAGAAAATTGGGTTGGTCCAGAGAAATTCTCTGGGTTGAACTAGTGCTGTGCAGAGAAAATTGGGTTAGTCTAGAGAAATTCGGGTTAGTCTAGAGAAATTCTCTGATTTGGTCCAGATAAATTCTCTGGTTTCTAGTGCTCTACTTCAGAGAAAATTGGGTTTGTTTTATATATATATATATATATATATTCTATCACGTATTGTGTATAAATTTAGATGTATGCATCTCTTTTTCTTTTTATAATGCAGATAGCTAAAAAGCCTAGCAACAGTCTCTGATTGATTTTTCACTTTCCTCTCTATGTTTTTTGTGTGTTTGTTTACAGTTATGAACTCCGAAAATCTCGGGAAAATTGAGGAGGAATTGGAAATAAAATGTTTTCCAAATATGAAAATCGATACAACAAAAACCCTAGCTCAGATTAATGCCCATTTCTCTTCCGAACCAGCTCTCTCTGCGTCCGAACTAGGTTTGCTGTTCGAGATCATGAAAATGGGGTTAGGGTTTCTAGTGAGGGTTTGAACGATGATGACGTCTGTGATGTTGAAGTTTCAAACAAAACTCTGATTGTTGAGGTTGAGAAAGATTTTTGTGAACATGAGAGACAAGATGATGAGAAGGGTTTGGGTGATGGTGATTCAAGTGAGTTGATTAGGGATGGTTCTGATAGGGATGGTTCTGATAAGAATGAAGAGTTTGATCAGAATGGGTCATTGGAAAGTGCAAATGAGAGTGGGAAAGATTGTGGGGATGAAGATGATGATAAAGGAGGTGAAGGTTTCAAGCTTATGCCAAATTTCTCTGTAATGCATTGTTGTGAGGTTGAGGGATTTTAGACATCATAAAATAATATTATGGATCTCTTCCATTACTAAAATTAGAAGACGGACTTTAGACTAATTTTCTCTTTTTTTTTTTTTTTTTTTAGCATGGGTGTCTGACAAATGTGATATAATAAATAGATTACAATTATCGGATTGATCTTATTTTATTTTATTTTTTATGATATATATGAAGTAACCGACAAAATAAATGATTTAAAGGTGACCCTCACATCCACACATATATGTACGTACGATACTATTAAATCAACAGCTGAAAATTCGATGTTTAGAGAATTCGAATATGATTAGTTAAAATATACAGTAAAATCTAGCACCCAATTAAGAAGCGGACTGTTATTAATGTATTTAGCTAATGATTTATTAATTTGTAGTCAAAAAGCATATCCAAATGAATATCCTTAATCAAGCTATTAAACAAAACAACCTACAATAATTCCAACAAAGTTGGCAGAAATTTATTGGAATTGCAGACGTAATATTTAGATATATATAGACATATTACCGATGTTGCGGTTGAATCAATGCTGGAGAGATGTCCATATAATGGTTGTTTTGGATTAGCAAACTTCAAAGGGACTGATCTTTTGAGAATGCATGGTGTGTCGAATCCAGCAGTGAAGAAGACGAATTCAATGTCGGTTCGGATGTTAATAACGTGAAACGATAGTGAGCCACTGCAAGTGCTCACTACACATTCCCCCTTGTTGTTGTGTTCCTTGCATTCCTTCTTCTTGCAACTAATATAATCTGGATCATTGTTCACGTATTGTGCCTGCATTTGCCATTTGCATGTTTGAGTTATAATGAAAACTATGTACAAAAAGAAATAACGTATCTGAAAGGCTTGTGTGTGTATCACTTGAAAATAAAAATAAAAACAAAAACAAACACTCATCAAGATGCATTGGGCTCATTTCAAAGAAAGCATTTCACAAAAATTTTGTTTGGGAACTGGTGTAAAAAATTATTTACTATAACTCCAAAGTGTTTTGATGTGCAGCCTTCTTAACAGTAACAAAAATGTTATATATTAACTACAAAACAATCATTGTTATACAATAATCTATCTGCACGCCGAATCCAGTGTTACGCATTGCATGCTAACATTTCTCACATTTTTCTAGATGACCGAGTTCATTAGAAGAAAAGTCAAAACACTGTTCATCTTTGATTTTTTTGTTTGGTATTTAAGTAGGGGGAAAAAATCTCAAGTTTTGCATAAATGAAGAAATAAATATGGATATATACAGAAAACGCTCTAAAAATGACATGACAATGCCAATTTTGTAAATCAAAGCAAAAGGTTCAAATTAAGGCATGTCATTTTGTATGAGAATTATTTTATGTTCAAAATTTGAACTTGATGATTATGTTAGAACTTGTGAGCTCACTATGGGTCTTGTTTCGATAATTTGAATCGTTTATTTTGTAAGATTTTACACATATATCATTCTTAGAGAAAAAAAATAAGTTGATTCAATAATCATAATATTTTCATTTTATTGCATTTGTCTAAAAAAATAGATGGCTTATTTTTAAAAATATATTTGTTGTTCAGTTTTTCGGAAACAAATGCGATAAAATAAAATGATTACGATTATCAGAATAGAAATAATATTTTTTTTCACTAACAAAACACACAAATAACTCTACAAAATGAACGATTTAAATTATTAAAATAAAACTCATGATGGACACATCCTAACATAGCAGTCAAGTTCAGATTTTTAAACTTCAGAGATGTCAAAATTATATATATTATTTTTTTAATGTTACCATGGACATACATATCTTTGGGTTCATTCCCATATAGGTATAGTGCTCACCTTAACAGGATAATGGCAAAGAAGAGGAAGGCTGCTTAGATCACCGGTCTGTTTATATTGAAGGGAGCTAAGAGGACAGTCTGAGACACTGCATGTGTAACACAACACAAAACAACACAAACCAAATAAACAAACGGACCATAAACATTGGAAACGAAATATAAAAGCAAATTAACAAAGTTTAGTGTTGTTCTTACTCAGAAGTAGAAGGTGAGATCATGGCAACCCAATCACTGACCCCTGGAACCAAAACTCCACTGACAGTAACCGTAACAAATTCATCGTCAGAAAGGTCAGAATTCGAACTAACATTTATTTGAAGATATGGGTTTGGATCAGGACACTGACCCAAAACTCTTCTATTTAGTACCCGGAACTCCGATATTGCAGTATAGTTTCTGAATTCATGGGTAGAGTTGATAATCAGTGGAAGCAAGGATGATGATGATGATGATGATGATGATGAAGAAAAGTAAGAGGAAGAAGAAAGACAAGGCTGAAAGAAAATAAAGAAAGTGAAGACAAATCTGAAAGAAAAGTGTAGCTCCATTTGTGGGTTGGTGTTCATCATAAGGTACATGTGTGCATACTTATATATATTGACTCTCTGTCGCTATCTATAACTAGGTGTATGACTATTAAATTAGATAATATATATGTATGAAAAGATGTATGAAAGTGTGCAGGCAGTTGATGCAGAATTCCCAGTATGGACAAGTAGATGGAGATGGGAGCATGGGACTCTCTTGAATCTCTCGATCCTATTTTTATGGTATACAACGTGCAAGGCATATACTAGGCGAACATTACGTGGGACAGTTTTGCTTATTATCGTTTTGCAAATTATGTTTGGTGCCCTCAGGACATTTCCCAATCAAAAATTCTAAGTACCTGAAATTTATTTGTAGAATCGATCACAATTTTTTTACATGTCTAGTATCATAGACACAAGTCTTTGATTTTGTGATTGAAATTTGTGTTACATCACAAGTGTTGTGTAACTAACTATAAAGAACAGCAGATAATTTCTTCCAACAACGTACCCTGGTGGTTGTGTAGATACTATCTAGAATATATATTGATGTTATCGGTCTCTCTTTCTCGTCCTTTTGTTTTCTTAGGATATAAATTGTATTGTTTGACGCCCCAAACATTGACCTGCTAATTTGATTGGTTTATTGTCTCATATTGTGGTTTTTTTTTTTGGGTATTTGAGATTATTGTATATCACATTCACTGACAGGTGGCTTCATTGTAGATCAAGTTCCCACTTTTATTGAACCATCTTGTTCTAATTTCTAACACATGCAATTGATAACTCTTTGCGTATTTTAAAAGAGGTGATAAGAACAAGTTCAATACGGTACTTGAAACGTATTGCGAAACCTAGAGTAAACTCACAAGCAAGGCATGAACAATGAGCTGCCTTGTGGATAAAATAATTGTATGCACACACTGGAATGGTCATACATACTCTAATTAAGCAATGGCAGTTCCATAAATTTTGAACAAAATATTTAAAAATATAAACTAAAATTTATATAAAATAAATCACACTTACTATATCTATCATCTTTCCAATAATTTTCCTAGTTCAAACTATTCAAATTACCAACTAACTCATTGTGGTATTATTTTAGTTATGATTAAAAAAATATTTCGTTTTAAATTATGTGTTGTTTGATTATGAGTCTTTTTTCTTTTTTTTTTAGTTATGACCCTTGTGAAAATCAATCCCATAAATATTATAATTTGCATAGCACAACCTGTAATTTAATGTAAGTTATATTTACCAAGAGAAGCCATCTTTTAGATATTGCCTTTTTCTTTTTCTTCTTCTTCCTTTTTTTTATTTACTTTTTTTAAATGTTTTTTTCCCGTCTAGTGTGAATAAAAATTGTGAGTGTTGATTTTTGACCACACAACCAAATAGGGAAACTCAGCAAGGGAGCATCAACAGAATAGATTAAGCCTGAACAACCTGCCACAAAAAGATATGAATCCGGCAATGGTTCGTCCACCTGGGGGCATTCCGACGATTAAGTCAGTAATTATCTCTCAAAGATAGCCAATTGTGCTTAACTCACAAGAAAGAACTTACTACTTACAGTATATCACACATGCTCGAAACCCATGGGAGTGCCTTACTTTTATAGCCAACACTGACTTGATTCCTGTAAAAGTCTAACCTCAATGGACTCAGGCTCAATATTCATCTTAGACTCCCAGCTAGATAGGGATAAACTTCTTAAGAGCTCTATCTTTATGTAGACCAAGATCCTCCACAGTTCTAGGACTCTTGTCCCTTATCTGCTTACCTCGAATTCTGATATCTCCGCAGATAATCTTGGCCTAGCCGAGATCACTTTGGCATCAAGACCAGGCCACGTGGCACCTCGGCCGATGCTTCGGCGTCACCTTGGTCACGTGCTGTTAATTAAAAAATATGTCCCCAAAACTGCCCCTTAAGTTCTATTACCTCGGCAACTTGAGGTGATAGAACTTACACTACTTATTCATACATTATGTCGGCCAAAATTCATTATTTCCTTCAACCGAGATGATGACTCGTCGGCTTTAAGTACCCAATTCTTAACTGTCCATTTTTATCAAGGATCAAGAACCAAGAACCAAGTTCTTTAAGTATCTTAACTGAGATCATTCCTTTAGGCGAGGTTTTTGCTTCATTAAATCAAGAACTCCAAGAGTTTTATTTGCTCATGAGCTGTCACGCACGGTTTTCCCAATCGTTTTCGCCACGTGTCATTCTCTCATTAGTTCGTACCTGACACACGCTATCAAGACGCGTCACTTCTGCGCACACCGCCTGATAGACACGTCGTCCAAGGCACATCATTATGTGCCTTTTCGCAATTTTGACAAAACTTTTCATTCTCTCTCCATCTCTTCACTTTTGCAAAAAATAATCTCCCTCGTTTCGTAAATTTTCACTCTCTAAACTTCCACTCTTGAACCGCCATTACTGTTTCTCCAAAGCTCTGCAACCATTTCATTCGTCTTATCCGGCGAACTTTTTACCATCTGGCTCTAGACAATACCATCGTTGGACTCCGGCGAATTTCTTTCTAGCCTCGTTTTCTCGGCTTTATTTGGTAAGTTCTTAATTTCTGTCTTTTCAAATCTCAGTCTTCCACTGTTCTGAATATGTTTTTTTCATGAACTCGCCATTTACTCTTTTTACTGCATTGTTGTTTGTTGAATCTCGCACTCATTGTTGTATCATGAGTCGATTCCTTGAATCTGCTTTATGTTTTGAAGTTTGTCATTGTGCCTTTTGATTATCAATCACATTTGTGATTTGCGCGCACTGCCCCCACACACTCACTCACTGTTTTGTGGATTTGGGTTTCTATATTTGTGATTCTTGAATTTTGCCTTTGAATCCTTCTTGGCCCTCAACTTCGTTCTGTTTCTGTTTGCTTTGTCAGTCTTTCAGATTCTTGCTCTTGTTTTTTGTTTCAATCTTGATTTCTGAATTATATTTCATGTCTGGTCTTCTTATTCTGTTTCCAGATTCTGCCTTCGAATTTCTTGTTCATTTGCATAGACCATAGGCTTCGGATTTGCTTAGAAACCAAATACTTAGGAAAAACTGAACCAAAAACCCCTCTTAGATCTGAAAAAACCCTAGCTCCGATACCAATTTAGGGTATAGCCGAGGTGTTTGAACCCATACCAAATATTCCTTTATGAAATTTTGCACCAATCTTTACTAAGCCAACATTATGAGAATGTTTAAGTGGAGAGTAGACACCCCCGCCAAGCTAGAGTACTTTAGGCAAGAGTTTTCCATTCCAGCCGACGTCCATCTGAGGTTAGCCAAGAAGGATGACTCAAATATGCCTGGCCAAGATTACGTGACATTCCCAGTCGTCTCTATTGTTGAAGGAGGAGATAGGTTTTTCTCTAGATATCCTCTTTAGGGAAATCCTCTACTATTAAACTCAATTCCATGCAACTGGCCATTAATTCCTTTAGGATCATCAATGATATTGCCGAACTGGCACGTCGGCAAAATGCTAGAATCACACTCTCTGACATCCAATACTGCTACACCATGTGTAGTTTAAAAATGCCCAAAGATTACACCTACCACCTCAAGCTGAGATCTACGCAATATAAGCTGATAGTCGATATCCGATATTCTAATAAAGGCGCGGCAGATGACTATCTAATTGTCTCGGGCAATTGGGAGTTTGCACCGGATGATAAACTCTACCTCTTCCCCCTGCGCCGTGAAGTTTTTAGGGATGACAAGGGTAAGAACCTAGTCCCCTCCCAAAGTCCCTCTGTCTGTAGCTTTACTTAACTATATTTTCAGTTTCTAATGTTTTCTTTTGTGTTTTTGCAGCCCTTTCTCAGACCGAAAAGGACTTCCGTCAATACTACGTGCCAAGCAAGGATATAGTGCGCCTTTTTCGTTTGCCCATTGAAGTGCGCAAGGCCCCAGTCCTCCTCAACTTTATTCCGACGTATAGGAGTCCACTACTTGATGTCCCAAAAAAAACCAAAACTCCACCTTCTTCATCTACTCCTGCAATAGCCTTATCTCCAAGGCTAGATCAAGCCTCCACCTCCGACCTAGTTAACCAGCCATCCACTTCTGCGCCTCAGTTGATTCCTCCATCTCAGCGCCAACGCCGACACCGAGCTGCTCTCTTTGCTCCTACAGGCAGAACTCGTAGCCGCCAACGCCAAGAATCTAAAGCATCAGCTTTTGACCCAGCCAATTCTCTCATAGCCCTTCCAGTAATCCGTCTTGGTACCAAGGTCATTGTTGCCACCACTGCCAAAGAGATGGGCCATACAAAGATCATTTTGGATGACCTTCTTGCTGACATCCCAGGCGTGGTGTTAGTCCACACCTCCTCTCCTTCCTAATCGCAGCAAAAACCCAAGGCAAAGAGGGTTAAAAGGGCCAAGGTCATGCCTAGCGCCACTAAGGTAGAGTTAGAAAACACAGTGCCAATTTCAAAATTGGCTGAAATAGAGAAGTCAGCTGAGAAGAGGCCTGTCGAGGTTGAGGCGTCTGACCGACCCCAACCAAAAAAAGTCGAGGTCCGGCGGGTTTTCTGAGCACTCTGGATTTTATGTCGATGCTCTCTGGACTCCATCCGTTACGGTTGTGGACAGACCTCTGCTAGCCGGGGACAGTATGCTCGATAGTCTGGAAGTCGGTGCAACTATTTCTACCGCCGTTCTACTGCCAGGCGACATCAATCGGATTGTTGAGCTTTCGGAGTATGAAAACTACGTGATGATGATGCAACATTGTGTCTTGGTAAGTCTCAACACTTGTAATTTTTTGATCTAATACTTCGATTTTCATGCTTAATGAATTTTCTTTGCATTCTTGCAGGCTATCCAGTAGGGTCACTCCCTTGCAATCAAGACCGATGAGTTTAAGAAAGAGCTGACCCAAAAAACAAAGGAGGCAGCAAAAATCCTTTCCTCGCTAAACAAAGCCAAGGCCCATATCCAAGGTCTTCTAGATCAGGCCAAGGCTATTAAGTCAGCCTTGAAGAAAGTCAAGGACCGCGCCGAGGCAGCTGAAAATGTTGCTGAGGTTGCTCAAGCCGAGGCAAAGGAGGCCAAGGAGAAAGAGGCCCAGGCCCAAACCGAGCTCCAAACAGCGTTAGCTATAAAGGCAGATGAAATTAAAGCGGTCGATGAAAAGGCCTACGTCGAGGGGCCAGCCGATGTCCACGATGAATACAAGAAACAAGTCAAACAGGCATGCAACAGGGGTTACACCCTTGGTTGGATGGCTGCTTTAAAGGAGCTTGCTATTCTTGACGACTTGCCCCTTAGGGACGAAAGTCGACTCGTTGCGCAATTCCCTTTCTCTCCAAACCAATCTGATGATGAGGCTAAGGGGGACGAAGAAGCCGAGGTCAAGACCGGTGGCGAAGGTTTTACTGGG